TGGATATAAAAGGTAATTAGATTTATTAGCCATCCTAAGAGATTTTATGTTGAGTAGACAGTCTCCCTTTTTAAGACTGGGAAAAATATTTAAATAGCTATCCCTGAATTTAGGAGACCATCAACCCTAACACATTTTAACACACTTCCAACATTTTCCTTCTTATAGGAAAGTTCAGGAATTCCTTCTTTAAAAATCTGTCCTTGGGATGAAAGGTCAGTGAAAAATACAATCTGTATGCTGTTTTACTACTCATTTTATAAAAATACATGGCTGCATTTTATACCCCATGTATTAACTACTTTTCTGGATCATTGGGATTTATTTTATATAGTGTTATTGTTAATTAAGCAACATAATTTGAATATGACCAATTTTTATTTCATTTTTTATAAAACCCACTGCATAACGATGACTTAGTTATGGTTATTCGTGTTCATCTTTTGTTTTGTATGTTTTGATTTCTATTTTAAGTAAAATTCTGGTCACTTACCATAAGAAAGGTTTGACTAAGTACAGAGCACTAGCAACTTTGTTAGGCTCAGTAATACATGATGAAATTTATGAAAATCTGAGAAGAGATAATCTCTGGAAAGAAATGTTCTTTAAGGAAAAAACCTCAGAAAGTGGGGTCTAATATGATGCAGTGTTTTATTTCTCAATCTTTTTCTTTATGTAAATTATTAGATTATTATTGAAAGCATTTAAGACCACTATGAAAGCAGAGATATTATATGGCTCCCTAACTTTTTAAGAAAAAAAAATTGTTGAGATTTCCATGGTTCTTCCTGAACATCATTTTAAACTTTTCTCTCCCATCCTGTTGTCAAGCCCAAAAGTCGAAAAAGGTGCCTGGTGATTCTTCCAATCTAATATATGTATTTATTTATTAAATTATATACCATCCATATGTCACTGTTGCAGTGACTCTGGGAAGCTTATTGTTCCACACCTATAGACAGAATCTTGACCAACAGTAATAGCTATCTGCAACTAGCATATACTCTTACAAACTGGTTGCTGTCTTCCCTGTCTTTCTTTCATATATAATATCTGTACTGAGCTGCCTCTTATTCCTGAATCTGTCCTGGGAATCCAGCTTACTACATTTTGTTTACTACACTTGTCCATACTATGCATTCAGCTTATAGTACTTAGTGATGCATTAATAAGGTAGATGACCTTGATAGAAAAAAAGCAAGAATTGTTATCTAGGCAAAAGGGGTGAAACATTTAAATCCCAAGAAGCAAGAATAATATTTGGCAGCTCATCAAAAGCAAGCTCCTCTCTTAATTGTCTGGGTTATGAAAACACAGAATGGTATGGCACAATCAGATTGGTAAAACTTTGTTATTGTATTCTATTTCAATAAACTATAATTCTAGGACATTCTGTGGAGCTGAGTTTTGGATCCAGTCTACCTGGTGGGGCTGACAAGTGAGCAGACCTATTTGGGAGTAAGAAAAGCTCCTTAAGGAGCAATTAAGTTGTGTCCTAACTTTAAGAAAATTAAATTTGTTGAGACCTTCAGAATGTAAACTTTTAATTAACAACGGAGTTTTGCTGAACAGGGCTTGTCTGTGAAAGCCACAGGGAAAAGGACTGCTTGATAAATACAAATAACTATGTTGTGGAAGCAATCAGTTATGAGAAATCAGTTTCTCAGTGATATCCAGTATGGGATGAAAAAGGTTTTTTTTAAGTGATACATTTCTGTGCAGAGATCACAATGGGGAAAGTTGTGAACAATCTTTAGCCTCCATAACACCTTACATATTATCAACTGTCTATGAGCATTGTGCAAATGCAGCAAGGATGAATTTGCATAGTGAACTTGTGTCCTATGATAGCACACATTCAGGACCACCTCAAAGCTTTTCGGTATTCAGCAGTATATGTGAATGTTCCCCCATTTAGTCCTACTACACCACTCATGAATGAATGACAAAAAAATGCAACTGTATGGAAGCAAGTGGCTTCTCATCAAAGCTCCAATGTTCTATACATAAACTTATATAAAGAGGTTTCAGGCATGTCATTCTCCATCACATCAAGGTTCTTAATCATGACTTATCAAATGTGTAAGGTAGCCAAGATTTTCAACAAGATTGGAGAAAAAAAGATTTCCACTTTTTCTTTCCAGTTGTCATCATAACCAGATTCACCAATAAGCGAGCTTTTCCTTGGAATTATAGGGATATGGAATTCAGCTGCATGTGTAGAAGATCTGCATTGTGTCACATGGCATTTAGTTTTGTTTTTAGCAGCACAGTACATCACATGTGAAGTGTCTGCTCACAATAATTTTATTCATATTTTAATATCCAATTAATTCCAAAAGTGCTGTCATGAAAATCCAAACCAAGCCACTCTTGAGCAGATCTCAGGGAGGAAACATGGCAAGAAACTCTTCCTGAAGTTTCACATGCTTGCTGGCCAGCAAATTTCAGATGAATAGTCATCCTGAGCTGTATCCTTCGAGGAACATCTTAAAATTCCAACTGTACAGTAGAAATAACTCCTTTGCATCTCCAAGGCCACAATTATACTGGATTTTAAACCTGGATCTAGATTTGAATAATATTTTGTTTGTTTGTTTATATCCCACTATTATTATTTTTTATTTTTGTAAATAACTCAAGACAGTAAACTAATTTAATATTCTTTCTTCCTTCTATTTTCCCTGCAACAACAATCTTGTGATGTGAGTTGGGCTGAAAGAGAGCTAATGGCTCAAAACCACCCAGTTGGCTTTCATATCCCATCTAAATTATAACATGTGCTCTCTTTGAAATTCCTTTGGCATTTCCAAAATTTAGCAATAGCAATAGCAGTTAGACTTATTTACCGCTTCATAGGGCTTTCAGCCCTTTCTAAGCGGTTTACAGAATCAGCATATCGCCCCCACAGTCTGGGTCCTCATTTCACCCACCTCGGAAGGATGGAAGGCTGAGTCAACCTTGAGCCNGTTCGATTCAAGGTTGACCGGCTCAAGGTTGACTCAGCCCTCCATCCTTCCGAGGTTGGTCAAATGAAGTCACAAATTGTTGGAGGCAATGTGTTGACTCTGTAAGACGCTTAGAGAAGCCTGTGAAGCATTATGAAGCCGTATATAATTGCTACTGCTTTAAGAATTACTGTATTTTTCGGAGTATAAGACACACCAAGATTTTGAAGAGGCAAATTTTAAAAAAAGTTTTCGCATTCTGCAAATCACCTGAAAACGGGCCCGTTTTTTGTAAAAAAAAAGGGGGGGGCATGCATATCCTTTAGGAGGCTTATAGAGTGCTTCTGGGGGTGGGGTGGAGTCAAAAACAAGGAAAAAAACGGCCTGTTTTTTGCTCATTTTTGCTCTCCCCAGCCCCCAGAAACACTCTGGAAGCCTCCTAAAGGCTATGCACGTCCATTTTTGCAAAGGGGGTGGGGTTTTGGGAGGCAAAAAAAATGCTGTATTCATGTGTATAAGACGCACCCAGATTTTTGCCCTCTTTTTTGAGGGAAACTATGAAAAATACAGTATATGAAAATTTAGTACTTTGCTTTTTAAAGCAAACTGGACATGGAGAGTTTAGTTTGTCTCATTAAGTAGATGAATAGTTGGAGGTGTTGTAGGGAGAAGACAGAAAGTTAGGCAAAAGTTAAATAGATTCTGGTTTTGAAACTAAAATCAATCAATCTATCTATCTATCTATCTATCTATCTATCTATCTATCTATCTATACAGGTAGTCCTTGACTTATGACCTCAACTGAGCCCCAAGTTTCTGTTGTTAAGCAAGAAAGGTGTTAAGTGAGTTTTGCCCCATTTTACAGTCTTTCTTGCCACAGCAGTTGTTAAGTTAGTAACACGGTCATTAAATGAATCTGGCTTCTCCATTGATTTTGCTTGTCAGAAAGTCACAAAAAGTGGACCCTATGACTCCGGGATGCTGCAACAGTCATAAATATGAACCAGTTGCCAAGTGTTTGAATTTTGATCGCGTGATCATGGAGATGCTGCAACAGCCACAAGTGTGAAAAATGACCATGCGCTACTTTTTTCAGTGCCATTGTAACTTCAAATGGTTACTAATTGAATGATTGTAAGTCAAGGACTACCTGTGTTCAAATCATGGTTGCAGTCATTTATCCAATGTTTCCATCCTCTTTCACCCCCTTCTGTGGCTTCAGCAACAGGGACGTACTTAGAAGATGGAGGGAAAGTCTCTTGAAACCTCTCTATTTATCTGCTTCAAAAACAGGAATGGGCAGTTTAGCCTTTAGAAGCATGACCAATTTGCGCGAGAGACCAACTGGAAGCTGTTGCTAAATTCCAAATAAGCCAGTGCTGTTTTGGACTGAAACCCAGTTTTTTTCTGGGAGAATCCATGCAATCAATACACACACGGTGTAATGACGAGGCATTTCTCAAACCAGTTTGTCCTGCTGGATTGTTAAGAAGAAAGAGAATTGTAGTCTCCACTCTGGAAAAGTATGGAGGAAAGAGATGTTTAAAATGTAATAATAGGACACTCTCTGATTTATAGCTCATTCTTTTTAACGTTAAATGCCTTTACATCCGTTACCACTTTAGGCCTTGCCCACAGTCACCCATGCCTTAGCAGCTCCCGTTTTAGATTACTGCAACGTACCCTAAGTGGGGCTGTCCTCGAAGGCAATCTGGAAGTAGCAAACATGCAGTTTTGGGTGCCCCACCATTTTTTGTTAGTGGAGCTTAAAACAAAGCAAAATCTACCATCGTTGTTTATATATCAGTTGATGTGTTCTTTATGGCTATTGAAAAATCACCCCAGTTGCTGACCTCTTTTCTTAATCAGCATGCTTAAATATTAGCAGACAGCTTGAATTTCTTATTTAGACCTCCTGTTGTAGTTACAAACAGGATAAATGTCACCCAATGCGTATCTTACTAGCCTTAGAGTCAAGATTGGACGTCAGTGTCTTTTAAAATAAGATCAGTTGTGTTTTGGAACTAGGCAGTGATATCTTGATCTTTCTAGGAGGGTTCCTGTCTGATGCTGGCTGGTACAGTGATGCTGAAAAGGTCTTCCTTTCCTGCCTTCAGTTATGTACCCTTCATGATGAGATGCTCCACTGGTTTCGTGCCGTCGAATGTTGTGTCAGGTAAGTGCTGCTCTGTCTCGAAGGCTGGAAAGAAATTCAAGCAGCAAAATGCACCTCTGCTTGTTACGAAGGGGTTATCCAGATGTTACAACACATGGTTGCCTTTTCTGTCCTCCCCAAACAGGAATAACAGGATGGAGGAAGAAGAAAAAGATTTCTGTAAACAGTCTCGCCTTTGTCTGACCCGTTCCCCACAAGAAGGGGTTGCAAAAGAGTAAGCAGTTGAGGAATACACCAAGCTGCTTTTGTAGTATACTTGCAGCTGCTGGGGCAGGCACATTGCTTTCTGTGTCTATTCCACATTGCGTGCCTACTTATTCTCTTGTAATCCCTTCCTCTCCAAGGAATGTAATTGCAAACATTAATTCACTTCTACGATGGAATTATCCAGATGTGACAATATAAGATTGTTTTTTCTCTCCTCCAACACTGAGATGGAAGGGGGGGGGGAAGTGATTTCTTTAAACAGTCTCCTGCAGCTGACCCATTCCCCACACTTGCAGAGCAGAGCGATTGGAGAAGAAGGGATTATAAGAGAGTAAGCAGTTGGGAAATATGCCAGAATGTTTGTGTAGTGCACTTGTAGCTGCTGGTGCTAGCACATTGCTTTCTATGTATATTTCCCATTATGTGTCTACTTACTCTCTTGTAATCCCTTCCTCTCCAATGAATGTAAATGCAAATTAATTAACTAAAATTATCCCTTGTTAATTCCAAGGGGCAGTGGAGTGCTTAGCAGGCAAACAAAAGTGGAAGGTATGAACCTGATTAGTCTTGTCATTGTAGTTGTGGTCATGTGATTTCCCACTTAGTGACCACTTTGCTTAGCAACAGTTGCTGATCCCAACTGAACAAGACTGCCTATATACTGAAGTTCAGTAGAGATATCAACGTCCAAGATACCTTAGAATATATTCCCTATTTACAAGCTCCTCTAGAACTAGATGATAAAATTAGAACAGTGCTCATTCCCAAATTGGAAGATAACAGGAACCAATGGAATACTGTATCCATAGAAATATGGCAAGCAACAGAAGAAGAATCAGAACAAGCTCTAACTGTTGGGAAAGGACCGGCAGTATCAGGAGTTGGAGTTAAAAGAGGGATCAGCGTAGAATTCCTTTGTAGCCACAAGCTAACTAAGTCCAGGCCTCCTTGAGTGCCATTAACCCTTACCTAACCAGGTGCTGACTGTTAGTTGAGAAGATTCTTGTGTATAGGCTTTTAGCAGTAAATCGGTTCAATTGAAGTTTCGTGATCTTTCCAGCCTGACATTAATGAAACTATATCAGCAAATGTGGAGAACCGCACTGCCAACATATTAGAGTAGGCTAATTTACATTCTAATAGACACCCCCCCCCCCAAAGGGTTTTAACAGACTGTGCATACTACCATACAATGCTTTTAATTTCACATGCTTGCAAAATGATGTTTAGGATTAGCCAATGCCAGGTCAGGGCCCTACCTGGGCAAGGAGGTGCCAGATACAATACAATACAATAGCAGAGTTGGAAGGGACCTTGGAGGTCTTCTAGTCCAACCCCCATGCCTAGGCAGGAAACCCTATACCATTTCAGACAAATTTCTATCCAACATCTTCTTAAAGATTTCCAGTGTTGGGGCATTCACAACTTCTGGAGGCAACTTCTATTCCACTGATTAATTGTTCTGACTGTCAGGAAATTTCTCCTCAGTTCTAAGTTGCTTCTCTCCTTAATTAGTTTTCACCCATTGCTTCTTGTTCTACCCACAGGTGCCTTGGAGAATAGTTTGACTCCCTCTTCTTTGTGGCAACCCCTGAGATATTGGAGCCATTGCTATCATGTCTCCCCTAGTCCTTCTTTCTATTAAACTAGACATACCCAGTTCCTGCAACCGTTCTTCATATGTTTTAGTCTCCAGTCCCTTAATCATCTTTGTTGCTCTTCTCAACATAAGATGTTGAAGCTGGCTTTAGGAAAATGCAAGGAACATGAGCCAGTACTACTGATGCAAGCTGGATAACTGGGAAGGTTGAACAATACCAAAAATAAGGCAATATATACATCAAAAAAGTAATAGACTGTGGGTTATGTTAATCATGTCAAGGTCTGTGCTGTGTGGTTAGGAAATCACAGAAACATCTCCTTATGAGATGTTTTTCTATCCTACCTGCAGATCAGGAAGTTGCAGTACAGACAGAACATGATGAAACCCATTGGCTTCAGGTTGGCAATGGAGTGAGACCAGGCTGTCTTTATTTATTCAGGCTACATGCTAATGATGCATTAAGTGGGGCTGATTTGAAAGACGATGATTTAAAAATTGCAGGAGGAAATATTAGTAATATGTACTATGCTAATGACAAAAGTCATTACTATTGTTTCAATTTTTTTTATTTTGCGCCCTGTAGACACCTCCATGTAGAGAAAGCCTGCTGGGCTGTCTGAAGAGCATAACAAGGATGATTAGGGGATGGTTGTAGGAATTGGGTATGTCTAGTTTAATGAAAAGAAAGGCTAGGGGTGACATGATAGCAGTGTTCCCATATTTGAGGGGCTGCATCATAGGGCAGGACAAGAAGCAGTGGGTGGAAACTAATCAAGGGGAGATTCAACCTAGAATGGAGGATAAATTTCCTGACATTTAAAAAAATGAATCAGTGGAACAACTTGCCTCCAGGAGTTGTGAATGCTCCAACACTGGACGTTTTTAAGAAGAGATTGGAAAAACCATTTGACTAAAATGATATAGGATTTCCTGCCTGAGCAGAGGGTTGGACTAGAAGACCTCCAAGGTCCCTTCAAATTCTGTTACTCTGTTTGCTGATCTCGACTTACCAACAGCTCATTTAGTGACCATTCAGAGTTACAATGGCACTAAAAAAGTGACTTATGACCACTTTTCACTCTTAAGACTGTTGCAGCATCCCCATTGTCACATGATCAAAATTCAGACCCTTGCAACTGACTCATATTTACGACGGTCACAGTGTCCAGGTCTTGGGCTCACCTTTTGTGACCTTCTGATAAGAAAAGTCAATGGAGTAGCCAGATTCACTTAACAACTGTGTTACTAACTTAACTGCAGTGATTATAAATAAGAATTTTTGGGGTCCATTGTGGCCATAGGTTGAGGACTAGTTGTATTTTAGTCAGCGCTGCTACTTTTATGTTTCACTGTTTGCACAACAGACGGATTAAAGGAAGAAGATCCTGTTCTTTATATTTTTAGAACTTAACTGACTCACCTGCCTTTAACTCCTTAGAGCCAGTGAGCCTGCTTCGTCTCAATTGTATTTTTACCATGGTTTAAATGGAAACTTTTGTCTAGGCAAAAAAAATTGTGGGTAGGTAAGTTTAATGATAGGAAAAGCTTGTACATTATTGTTGTTGTTGTTGTTGTTGTTAAAATGTGTATGTCATTTATATGCCATCCTACTCCCAGTTATTTTGGACAGTTTGCAAATTGTTAAAAAACAACATTTAAACACAAGGAGCAACACAGGTACTCCAGAACTACAGTTCATTTAATGACCATTCAAAGTTACAATGGCACTGAAAAAAGTGACTTATGACCGTTTTTCACACTTACGACCTTTGTAACATCCCCATGATCATGTGACCAAAACTCAGATACTTGGTAACTGGTTTATACATATAACAGTCGCAGCGTCCAAGGGTCACGTGATTCCCCCCTTTTGTGACCTCCTGACAAGCAAAATCCATGGGAAAGCCAGATTCACTTAACAACCGTGTTACTAAGTTATCAACTTCAATGATTCGCTTAGGAATGGTGGCAGGAAAGGTCGTAAAATGCTGAGTAAACCCATTATTAGCTGTGGGCTGGGTTTTTCCAGGAACCAGAAGTAAACACTAATTTCCAACAAAAACATCATAAATTGCAGACATGTGACTGTGAAACACCATGAACGCAGGTGATGTGACCATGGGGAAGGGCATTTGATATTGGGTCATAAGGGGTTGGGGGTTGGGTGGGGGTTTCCATCCAAACTTTGAATGGTTGCTAAGTGACCAGATGTAAGTCGATAACTCACTGTATTTTACGAAGATATGAAAATACGACCATAGGGTGGTTTGTAAAGTCAGTCTCTTGTTTTTATCAAGTTGCTCAAGAGATCAATAATTACTTTTATAAGTGCTCTCCGTATTAAGGTGGCTTGTCTATAGCACATTATTTTCCCTTCATGAAAAAAGAAGAAAAGATTTGAGAGTTATTCTTTATGTGTTTTGTTTAAAACAATTGCAAACAATTCTTGAAGGGGGCTTACAGCAGAACAATTAAAGAAACCAGCTGTACTCCTCCAGAAGGTTTCTCCAAAGCATATGTGCTTGTCTTTATAATATTAAAATACCAGTTCTTATTTAGAGGTATGTTGGCCTGGTTTGGACATAAATACTTCAGTAAAGTAAAACCTGCTATGTACAAGATCGTGAGAACTCTCATATCTGGAGAATAAAAGAATATAAAAGCAGGAAAGTCACTTGTTAGGTGAAGGATGAAAATTATTTTCATAATCTCTGATCACAATATGTTACCTTTCCTTAGTGGTGGTGTAATTTCATCGAAACCCGGAAAGTATATTAGACTTTCTGATCATTAACAAGAATTAATACAGTGTCCCGATTCCTAGTTAACTATTAAACCATAGGTTTTCTACTTCAGATAGAATGAGCTTCCCTAGTTTGGCCAATTCTGTACGTTTTGCATTGCTGCATGCAAAAATGTAGCGAGGCAATAAATGTCATTAGTCTGTTAAGCCATGGTTTATTAGAACTGAGTTATTGGGGATGAAGGTTTTCTGTGTCTGGCTGTTTGTGGATTAACTGACATATTTTTATTCCTTACTATTTTAAGGCAAGAGTGAGAAATCTTCCTCATTCCTTAATAATCATGCCATTTCGATAGAGGTAGTCCTCAATTTACAACCATTTGCTTACTGGCCGTTTGAAATTAACAACAGCACTGAAAAGAGTGACTTACGGCTGCTTTTCACACTTAACGACCATGTAGCATCTCTTCAGTCACATATGGCAACTGGTACATATTTATGACGGTTGCAGCGTCCTGGGGTCATGTGATCACCTTTTGCAGCCTTCTGACCAGCAAAGTTAACGGGGAAGCCAGATTCCCTTAATAACTGTTATTAACTTGATAACTACAGTCACTTACTTAACTGTGGCAAGAACGGTTGTAAAATGGGGCAAAACTCTACCGTTTCGCTTAGCAAGGGAAATATTGGGCTCAATTGTTGTAAGTCGAGGACAAGTGAGTTTTGCTCCATTTTATGACTTTTCTTGCCACAGTTGTTAATTGAATCATTGCATTTGTGAAATTTGAACCTGCTTGTTAAGTGAATGTGACTTACCGATTGACTTTGCTTGTCAGGAGGTCCCAAAAGTTGATTGCATGACCCCAGGACACTGCAACCATCATAAACACGAGTCAGTCACCAAGCACCCAAATTTTGATCACGGGGATGCCGTAAAGGTTGCAAGAGTGAAAAACGGTCGTAAGTCACTTTTTCCAGTGCTGTTGCAACTTCAAATGGTCACTAAATGAACTGTCGAACTAGCCTTGTGTGAGAAGCATTCAGCAAGTTGTGGGTCATAACACTTGTTGTCCCTGTATCTCTTTCCTAGGTTGCTGCATGTCCGGAATGGCAACTGTAAATATCACTTGGGAGAAGAAACCTTCAAATTAGCACAATCTTATATGGAGAAACTAGCCGAGCACGGACAGCAAGCCAACAAAGCTGCCCTCTACGGAGAGCTGTGCGCTCTGCTCTTTGCAAAGAGTCATTACGATGAGGTGAGCCTGAAAAGGGGGCGGGTGCTTTTTCTCCTCCACGCGAGAGCTTTGGCTTGAATTAACTGAGCCACAGGCAGAGAGAAAAGGGCTCCGGTGATTTTGAAGCGAGATTCTCCCGTGATGCCAGCCATACTTGGGTAAAGTTTAGTTTAGTTTTATTGAGTTTGTATGCCGCCCTATTCCCGAGAGACTCAGGGCGGCTCACAATAAAAAAGGGAGGGGATACAAAAAATAAAATAAAAATAACAATTTAAAATTCTGCAACAGCCGTAACCTCAAATGGGGCTGGATAGTTCAACAGCCCCAGGCCTGCCGGAACAGCCAGGTCTTAACCGCTTTGCGGAAGGCCGGAAGGGTAGTAAAAGCCCAGATCCCCACGGGGAGATCGTTCCAGAGGGCCGGAGCAGCCACAGAGAAGGCCTTCCCCGGAGGAGTCGCCAGCCGACATTGGCCGGCAGATGGAATTCGGAGGAGGCCTAATCTGTGGGATCTAATAGGTCTATGGGAGGTATGTGGCAGCAGGCCGTCTCTCAAGTACCCAGGTCCGATACCATGTAGGGCTTTAAAAGTAATGACTAGCTCCTTGAAGCGTGTCCGGAGACCAATGGGCCGCCAGTGCAGCTCGCGGAGGATAGGTGTAACGTGGGTGTACCGGGGTGCACCCACAAT